AAAGTTTTTGGATTTTTCATATAATGGTGTCGGGTTCACTGAAAATTCTTGAGACTTCTATTAGACTTTCCAATCCAGCCTCATGGATCGGATGAATAGGGTGAATACCAGTTCAATGCTAGACTGTCGAAAACGCTGACGTGTGAACTATAGCTTGTGTAGATGGGAAATCGAGACAATGGAAGACTCTGTGCACTATTTTAAAAAATCTCGAGGGAGATTGTTACAATCTTAGACATCAATTTAAGAAAAAATAAATTACTTGTCTACGTGTAAAATTTTTTGTAGAAAGATTCATATTGCAGAATTATTTAATAGAATTGAATGGAACGAAGATTTGTGAAATTTTTATTTCACAGGATCGTATTCCACGAATTCCATTCCACCACTTGATTTCGCGACTCGTGCACGTCCTACTTTTTACAATGATGATATTGAAATGTATCTGGAATGAATGGGAACTCACCAAACTGGTAGTCTGCATTCTTGAGGCCGTGTTCACCGTGTCGCCGAAAAAGCAATATCTGGGCACTTTGATGCCAACAATACCGGCCACAGCTGGCCCGGAATGGATTCCTAAGAAAAGTAGAGCCCAGTTGTACGCGACGTGCTCGATTCACATACCCTCAAATGTATTGAGAAGAAGAAGCCGGTCTCCCTCCCATAGGGAAGTTCAATTTTCGAAGGGAATATGAGGAAGGGGAGAGACCGAGGGGAATAAAGAATGTTTCAGATAAACCCATGCTAAATTACCTATACGGATTTGAATATCGAGACCAGACGGTAGCTTGAGGGATCGAACGTGTTTCAATAGCTCCAAGGATACGTTTGCGATATTTTGCGCATGACTCTCTGTTCTATCCGGTGCACCGCTGGCTGCCATATAAATCCGACCCACTGTCTCTACCTGTTGAAAGTCATAAAAGTGTTAAGATGTATAAAACGTTTAGGAAACTAAACAATAGAATGTATTGCTTCTATTTTTACTTTTATTTTTTTTCAACACATTTTGTTCATAAGTTTGTCACTCACTTTGTACACGTTGAACTCGTCCATCAGTGAATCGAAGCAGGAAAAAACGGCGTTCATCGAAGAAACAACGTCCATCGCACCTTCGATCGTCGAATAATCGAAGTCGTAAAGCTCGCAGAATAGCACGGATATCGACTCAAATGACTACGGAACAGATAAAGACAAGATAACACATTGCAGACAATATTATGATTCTCAGATGTTAAAATAATTATTGCGAAACATGTAACGAAGTATTATAATTAAATTTAATGATATATAATAAATAATTAAATACCTCGCAAGTGCTCAAGGGACTCGCGCCAGCACGTAACCGATCGGCAACTGTTTGAGGGATCATGGAGTATAAAAGCTCGTCACTTTTATTCTTCCATCGGTCGAGCAACGCGTAGCTGTTCTCCAATTCAGTCGATCTCTGCTCAGCCCTCTCGAACATCATTTCCAATCTAATCAACGGCGCATACAGACGTTTAATCGACGATGCGTCGGTTATATGCTAATAACAAATCAATCGATTTTACCCGATTAATTAATAAACAATATTGTACCTCCCGCAATGTTGCCATCCGGCGAGCACCAATTCGCGGCTCAGCCCATGCGGATTCAGGTCGTTCAGGTACAGGCCCATGTTAAGTAGTTCGTCTAAACTGTTAATTCTGTCGAGGAACACTTCTATTAAATTTATTTGTTGTATTCACTTCTTCGTCGCTGCGTTTTTTAACCCTGCTTTGGCACATCACAGTTTTCATCGCAAATATATAAAATTATGACCGAAGATTTCAATATTACTTTTGACAAAATTATATTATAGAGAGAATAATGATATCATAGGATATTCTACTTTTTAAAAATCACATTGAATGTAGATTGTAATGTAATATTGAAAAAAGACTTGGAAGCACAGTGCCGTTGCAGGGTCAACTTGGTATATTCAATGAACTTACAGTGGGCTACATAAAAAAATGATTGCTTTGATGTCGTCGATGTACCTCATCTGCCCTTTTAAAAGTATACTTCTGGCTCCTTGGCTACCTCGTCTGTCCAATCCCGAACTAGTACCCGGGGTATTGTCTGTACTCGGCGGTGCACCGTTGTCGTTTAATCTGATTAATTCTAACTCGAACATCACCGAATGCAAGTACATCACCTGATCAGTGCATTCGGTACATTAACATTTATTAAAATTTTATTGAACCACTTTTTAAAGCAAAATACAAGTGAAATCAAATTATAAATGTATGTCGTGATGCATGTAATGAAATATACAAGAAAGTAATAGGAATCGGCTTTTTATTTTTTTTATAATATCTGAGCTTACGTTTCCCCATGTGAACGATATTCCTTTAGGCCTACGAAGCTTAAAGACTTCCGTGATGTGCTTGTTCAGGATGGAACTACCGCCCCACGCTTGCAGCAATTTGTCACCGGTTCCCAATATTAGCATGTCCTTGTTGATTACCACCCCGAATGGGAAAAGGCGCAACAGGAATGAGATCGACACCGGTGCGAATTCGCGGCCAAGCGGAGCTTTCATTCTGGTGTTCTTCGCGATCTGACAACGTAATTTCTAACTATTAAATTTTTCACCCAAATCCAACGATTTAGAGTAGTAACTTTAAATTATAGAAAAATTCAGGTGTCTCATATGCTTGAAATCATTTCTTTAAATTTATTGATTTTTTATTATATCAATTAATGTAGTTTGAATTAGACTTACGTATTCACGATTGTCAAAATCGATCCTGAACTTAACCATTACGCTCCTGGACCCAGGTATATTGTTTGAACTTCCTAATACACTTATATTCAAATCTATCTCGTAAAGCTCTTTCGCTATGTGCAACAGCTGACCTACGAAAAATTATAAATACGTAATTCAATTTTACAATGCTTTTACTCAAATAATTGCAATTTAAAGGCGCAATTATTTATTTATGTAATTCACGTTCAAGCGAAACAGCTGTTGTTATTCTTACTGTTGGATTTACTTAATTACGAATGCATTTAATTCATGGCACGTTCAATGGTGAAATNAATGTTTGTAACACATGCAATGAAAATTTGACAATTAAATCTATATACTAATTTCAGATTGTTCTTAGAGAAACAAATAAAGCATAACAGAATATAGTCTGTAATAAAAGAATTGTGTTTTGTAAAAGAACAAAATATTTCTCTTGCGTGGTGACAAATCTTACCCATAAGGTAATGCGTGAAACCTTGCCTAGTGCTTCGATAGACTAGAACCACGCCTTGAGGGTCGATGTGCGTGGTGTACATCGAAGGACTTTTCATTTTCGGATACGTAAATCTCATCTGCATATGAATATTGTCGACGTTTTGAAGAAAGTCGCAGAAATAACGACCGGTGGCTTTTATCATGCAGGCGTATCTGTTACAGAGATAGTAGTAATTACTGCAAATATTTCAATTGAAAGGGATTCCAATTTTTTTCTATCCGACGATGAATGCAAACCGTGCTGTGCGTTTCGAAATGAGGTTGCCAGTTTCACAGAAAAATATTTCAATTTTAGATTATCATTTGTTTAATATTGCAGATAGAAATTATAGAAAGTTAATTTAATTTATTCTGCCATTTTTAATAGACGGTTCAGGAATTATGGTACCAATTTATTTCAATATATTATAATTTATTTTACAAGTTTATATAACACAATTGTTAAAAAGAGACGCGTACAGCTTCATTTCTTTTTATAGGATTTGTAACTCGTAGCATAGCGTTCCCAATTTATTATCGACACGAAGTGTGCTCGGTGTTTTATGTCCGAGTAATCATCCCCCTAGAGACAGGGGAGACTGATAAGGCGAAGCACTACTTGATCCTTATCGTGTATCACATGTAATAACAATAAGTCACGTACAACTGCTACCGGAACATGCAATTTGTCTATGAACAATTATTTTTTATGATATTCGTTTATGCTAAAGCGATTCTCAAGCGGTTAAACGGGGCCGCTAATGGACCAAGGCGGAAGTTTCAATTCCAATGAAATATTTAATCGTTGTTTATAAGGGCACTACACTTGCTCCGGCAAGTAATAATTAATCCCTATTCGCATGGTTCTCGGTGTATAATGATAATTAGACCGTTTAATTAACGAAAAGCTGAATCCAATATTCCACGACTTCAATCCAATCAGGCACATGTTCAAGTCCGTGCGAGAGACCAACGTTTTCATTTCGTATTCAATCAGATCGATCATACTTTTTATTATACATGATTCGTGTTTCATATTTAATAATGCGTTAATACGCGTATTTAATAATCGATCGTATATTTAATATTGCAACGAAAGGTTACGTTTTCATTAGAAACACGATGTATCGGTTTAATTGAAAATTGCCAGGTCCACTTACCCTAGGTTGCTAAAAAATCGAACGAAACATTTTCCAAAGAATTGCATCACATCGTCGATGGTCTCGCCGGTGAATTCGGCCAGCGCAGCAGCCAAATTGGTCATAAGCTCGTCGGGATAGGTCTGTCGCGTGTTGAAAACCATATGCTTGCAATCCGCCCTTTCCAACACGCGAAGCCAGACATCCTCGCCGTATTCTAACTGTAAAGAGAATTTAATTGGTTTCTCAGTGTTAGTATTCTTCCCACACAACCTCTTTCATTTTCATTCTCATTATACACATTTCCATTTTATTTCCTACTTTCGTTCGATCCTCCACTGATATTAATTCCGAATATATGTTATTAATTTCGTATCGAATAAAATAAACGTATGATTAAAATATATAAAGATTGTATTGCATTGAAGCGAAACCTGATCAATGTAAAATCATTATATAAAATTACAGACCGAATAGAAAATGCAACTTGGTAATAAGATAAAAGGATTCAATTTCCCTTTGGCTCTCGCGTTGGGATTTCCTTTCGGCGCTCAACGCATTAGTATTAATAGATTTACGGTTTAAACCGTGGAGAAAAGTTTCTCGGCGTATTTTATTATACACTTAGTTCACGCAGATCTTCTCACCGTTGAACGATCGATTTCCGATAAGGACAGCTCCGAAACAGTGAGAAAAGATCATATAAAAGGATGGCGCATGTAGCCCGTTCGTATTATGCCCCGGGGAATATTATCCCCCTTCGTTCTTTCTATTGTTCGTTCGTCACGGGAAACAAAGAGCAAAGTCCTATACTGTGCAGCTCCTGGCACTATTCACAGCTAAAAATTACAGACTAAGTCGGTGGAGCTTAATGAATTACGACAGATCACGCGTACACTTGTTAATCCTTAAGTTATATTTTACACTTCCTTAATGAAATTTCTTTGGTACAAAAGAGTTCTTCAAAAAAGTAATGACAGAATTGTATTTTCAATTTTAATTGAAGCACGATATCAAACAGTTTAAAATAATTCCAAGCCTACTAATGTATGAACTCATTCCTGTTTTGTAACTCTGATATTTGGGGAACAAAAGAGGAGCTCGTGTCTGATATTAAAAATTTATTTCGACGTTTCAGGAAGCGATCGTTTTTTAGCAGACGTCAACGCACGGATAAATATAGGGGAACTCACGTGGTCTACATATTCATGAGAAATTGATCCGCGTAATCAAGTCAATTTCTAGTTCCCCATAGAATAATCAATGTTTCTTCTCTCTCCGCTGTAATGGTCACGGTCACGAAAATTAATACTATCCGTGCATTAGTGAATTCTCGTGAGATTCGACACGCCAAATCGAGACACGCGAATTTCTCAAATCGGGTCAATTTTCAATTTGTTATAAATCAAGAGTGAATTAATTGCTGATAATTAATGTGATACGAAGTGGGACACGCGTTTTGCATTAGCGTCATAGACGAGTGAGTGTATGTATTTTTTTTAACAGTGGCTCTGCACGTATTTATAATGACATTTATTATCTTATAATCATTATAAATTTTTCATATTACAAACGTATAAAAATTGCAAATTAATTTTCATGCATAATTACTAGTAGGACTGCTTAGAAGTTCCAGTTCACTGAAATTAATTTTACTGGATTTTCTGAATGATGAAGTCCTAATATGTATGGATGATGAATTAATGAATAATGAAATAATCGTTATGGTACGAAAAGAATGATAGAAGAATAAGTACGCTTGTCCTTAAGTGACGAACCGATGCTATTTTTAAAGTCCTCACAATTAAGGTGTTGTACACCGAAAGGAAGTCTGCAAATTCCATCCATATTCAGGTACCTCGTTTATTGCGTACCTTCAGACCATTTCCTTCAGTTGGTACGTGACTCTTTTCGCAACGACTGATTATTTTCGGACGATACGATAAATCAACAACTTGCATGTCGCCTTGCGCATCTATGTACACTAGTTCCGACTCGTTCCTGCTTTATCGTTGCGTTACCGAAAAATGCACGAGCAAAGATTCAGCTACAGTACGTTTCTACATGGTCGAAGTATGCCCCCGTCTTGAGGAAGCAATTTCGTATGATCTCATGATCACGCGATCGTTTCGCAAACGAAATGAGACGAAGAAACGAACATTTCAAACATTTATCTCAACTGCCAATAATTAAGCTAGGATTTGCCGGCGAGATGATGAAGAATGGCTATGAATTTTTCACGACGAGAAAAGATATTGGAGGAAGATATCGTCTTTTCTTATGGCGTCTTTTCTCCAGTGATGCATTAACTTGAAATGCTCCATAATTTCTTATCAAACGATGTCAAAATTTTTAAGAAGAATTATCTATTAATTATGAAATTATGAATAAGAATCGCTTCATGGAATGATAAAGGATTAATTAATAACAATCATGCATCTGCCATTTAAGAAGATTTTCGTATGTCACGGATTAGTATTGGAATTGAAAGTTATGTAAAATCAATGGAGATCATGGATACGTGCCAATCTTCAGTAGCTACTGTAAATATATGTGAATTTCGGATCAAGGGCATATTACTTAATCGCACATTTTATATGATATAATCGATATTGACATAATTTGTTTATAACTGCAATTGGAGTAAATATATCTGTTTTATAATCTGAGTTGCGAAGAGTATTTCATCCTAAGGCGACGGTGTAATTCATAACGTTATCTCCGTGTACTTCCTTGGACCAATCGATACACTATATAGTTTTGGTTAGATAATTCAGGATTTGGAGTTCGAAATTGTGTTACGAAGTACGCGTAGATAGATGAACTGGTAAGAAAAAGAATAAGAAAAGGATTTACTGAACAAATTACATTTCAAGTTCAATTTGGACGAAGTGAGAATTCTAAAAGTTAAGACAGTGATGATCTTACGCACGGAGACATTTAATTAGAAAGTATATAAAGGTGATATAAAATTTTTAGACATGCTTTACTTTTCGTGGGACATCAAGTCAATCCATTCGTTTTGATCCAGTCGACTTCAATTTCCGAAGTAACGTTGTTTATCAAAACACGAAGCGAATTTAAATATTCCATACGTGAATATAATTAAATACACAAGTGCATAAATAAACAAATAGCTGCAGGAACATTCACGTCCAGTCACGTTCAACAGGAAATATCACAGAAACGTTAAATGGAGTAACACAAACATTGTATTATACGTGAGCTGTGCATACTTTGTGATTTATTGTAATAATCCTACTTAGAACGAAAGGAAATTTTACAATGTATTCCGTTGATGCGTCCAACGGAGAAAAAAAAATACAAATTGCAGTAAAACGAAGCTCGTTAAATTCCGTTCGAATGTTCTACTTCTAAAGAAAACAGTTTCAACCGGATTTGAATTACAAGAATCATTTAGTACCACGCGACACGCGTATTCCTGCGCTTCAGTCTGATTATGCTACCCCTTCGAGAAACGATCGTTGAGTTTCTTCACGCGATCGGCCGACAATGATACGGATCGGAGGTTGCGCGGATGCGAAATGAGAAAAGGACGGAGCAACTTAGCGAAAAGCAGCATAGTACTCACGCACAATCTCTCTCACTATTTCTCTCATTCGTTTCAGTCTACCGACCTGGACGAAGTGCTGTGCACTCTCCAACAGCATGCCGTACATCGTTCCGGCTGTTTCCGCGGTTTTAGTTCACCAAACGACGCGTGCAATCATAAGGACGACGAGCTCGCGTCCGGAAAACGATCTATCGCGATTCGTTTTACTGTGGCTTATCGAGGATCGCGGAATCATCGCTGGCGAACGCACTCGGTCGCACCCAGTGTTCGCTCCTCAAGTGTTTCGCGCCATTACCGCATCGCGCCGGCTGTCATGTTTCAGCTTGCGCTCCTCTCGCCAGTGAATAGAGAGAGAGACTGGTCCGGCTCCGCGGCGCGCCGAACTTTGAGTTTAGGCCCGTGTCCGTGCCCGTGCCGCGAGGGTTACTCGGGAAGGGTGGTTGAGTGGATCTAGCCGTCTGCGTGCGCACACGCGCCGTGCCTATGGGACATTTTCAATGGCTCGCCTCTTTCCTCGGGGAAACTTTTGAAGATATGCACGCGGCGATATAATATAAAATATGATCCGATCTCTTGTTCGTGACGCCTCGAAGTTTGGCTAAACGCGAATCACCAGCTTGCAAGTTTTTTAAGCTTCTGACGCGAGCGGAGTACCCTGGTTGATTAAGTTTAAAATTCGTGCAGTTTGGAAGAAAGTCATATTTTACGTGATAAGAATATGTCATCTATTTTACTTCTACTCCTTCTCCGGTAGATTTTGGGTCATTAGTTATCTCATTTTGGTTATCAGAATAAGAAATAGGGATACGTAATTTATTATGGTAATACGTATTATGTGATTTATCTTGTTAGTAACGAATGTCAGTTATCTGAAGCGATTGAATATGTGCAACAGTTGAACTTTGATAAGCTTATCAATCGTTTCTCTTTCAACGATATTTCGTTCTCCATTTTCGATATCTTATTTTTATATAAAAAGAAAGCGTTTGTTTGTATGGTAGCGAAAATCTAAAAAACGAAGCATTGGCAATTGAAAGAAATAAATGCATTTCGCAAGTTTGATGAGTTACAGGTTTGGTTTCGGTTCATAAGGATTACCTATACAAATACCTAAAAATCCATTTCAGGAATTTCCCTTGATCATCCACTAAAAGGGTGAAAAGATGTAAAATGAAAAATCCTCAATATTTTTGAAGTTCCATAACTTAGTTTTACTTCTATTCATTACATATTTCTATCCTATACATTTATAATTATATATATTATTATAATTAGTGTGGACGAAGCCTCAACTGGGGATGTTCGTTTCGTATAATAAGAGAACATTCAATATGTGAAGTACGGTCGCGTACTCAAATCTCTCAGTCAGGAGACCGGACTGCCAGTAGTAGCGATGGGACGATTCACTTGTTGCTCATGTATAATCAAACTATTTTATGATTTTAAATAATCATAGAGAAAAATCGGTTCTAGTTGAACGCTATATCACAAATTATCTTGTTATAGTTAACATATTAGTAATTGCAAATTTCGTGAGAAACTTTATGAAGCTGGGAGTGTGCAGTCTTGCGTTTTATTATTTATCGCTTCGTGCGAAGAACCGCGTTATACAAAAACAGTAGTCGCGGTATCTTTGGCGCGTTGGAAGAACCCGCGTTATATGGGAGTTCACTGTAGTGATGATAAGATACTCAAGATATACATGATGAAAGCGTCTCGCATCCATCGCTACCGAATGAACGCGTGAGTGCGCGCGCGCGGGCGACTGTACACACAGTGTAAACGTAAACATGGCCGCGGAGAGTAGCGAAGGTTTGCCAATATCTCCGTCCGAGAAATCGTTAACCGGTAGCCTAGTGTCCGAGGATAATGAAAAAAGTGTATCGCGTTCGCCGTCGGTGTACTCCATCAGGGAGGACAAATGGCCGGACCTGGTCGTCTCGAGGCCTAGGAAACTGGACGCCTGGTGGTTGCCGAGACGTGAGTACATACCAGCGATAAATGCATGCTTCCGGTGTATGTTTCAGCGCGCGCTTCGAAACGCGCGCGTGCGCTTCCGATATCACTTCGTAATCATTTAACTAAGAAACGTGAGTTACGATATTATGCACATCGATACGTTAAAACAATTAATCCGATTGCATCGCTAATTTATTGAAATTAATTCGTACCATCGTGGAACATAATAGAAAGTTAGACATTTATTACTAATCGATCATAAAACAATTGATGTAATTTTCATAAAGAATTCTAAACTTGATTTGAAAATGAGAATTTATTATTGATTTTCATATAAAGCCTTCCAACAAATGCACGCTTCCACAAATTTAATTCACAATATTCTGTATCGTTTGTACGTAATAAATTCAATCAAAATATAAAATGTAGTTAAAGAAATATTAATGATCGCAAAGTATCGCAAAATAATCTTTTCATTTCGTACAATTGCATGCACTTATTTTCTAATCCAAATTCTTAATAAAATACAAGAATAAAACTGCACGATTTCGCATGTAGAGTTTACAGAAAACTTCGTTATACATATTTAAAGAATGCACATAACATGCGAGAAGATGTATAGCACACGTGGTTCTTTGTTAACGTCGTACAAGTTTCCAGCAGAAAAATCCACAGTCTAATCAAAACGTGTAGCAATTGCATAAATCTAATAATAGAAGAAAACGTAGATATAAACTGCCAGTGCGTCTACAATTAATCTCAATTAGATATATGTATGTGATCTTAGAATTACGCATTACTTTTTCAAATAAACATTCGGATCACGATAGATGGCAGCACGGTCCGGTCGCGGCTCGCGTACGCGTATTGATTATCGTAGGTGGAGGTAAGGTCGGCGGGAGAATCAATATCACTTTCCGTCGGTGATTCGCCATTTCCGTCGTAAAATTTTTCGCGGACGTCGTACGCGCCGCATACGTGGTCCTCTTCGACAGCGAGTCAGTCCCTATAACGACGAGTACTCGAGAATTGAACCGGTGCACGGTTCGGGCTACGATGTAGCTCACGATCGAGCGACGAACCCATTCGTTTTTCCGCTTTGGCCAACATTTCTTTTCGCCGCTTATACCGCAGTGTCTATATTTCGTTTCGGACACTCCGCATCGAGCAAACTGCATCGTCTAACGTCAAAGATGAAATCCTCGTTGTGCTTCGTGTAAAGAAATCTGCTTAAAGGAAGAGTGAAGAGCAAGGAGAGAACTGTATCAGTGAAACGCGTTGCCTAGCTGATTGTAATTGCCAGAACGAGTATTCAGTGAAAGTCGGAGAGGATACAGTTGGAATTTGAAGACTTGAACTTGAAGCGATCGATAAGGAAGGGAAAGGTTCGGGTAGTGGAAGACAAGAACTCCGTATAATCGGAGTTTGAAGAAATTTATTGTCACGAACGAGTTTCTATGCGGCAAGAATCCCAGAACGGTCTGAAGATCAGACCACCGGGCGACCACGGTGTGCATCGCGGTGGGGTCATGCTCGAGGAAGAGATGGCTGGCGCCCAGGATACCATATATCTGTGCAACTTCCGGGTGTCCGTCGACGGCGAGTGGCTCTGTCTGAAAGAGCTTCAGGACGTCGAGTTCTCGTTGCACGACTCGTTGCAGCGCTCGCCCTCGCCGCCGCTCGCTCTCAGTGGTATTAACCATCATCATCATCATCATCATCACCATCGACACGTTGGTCATAGCGATCATCATCGCCAGCAACAGCTTCCCGATCAGCGCGATCTCATGCCGCCAACTCCACCGCCATTGCAGCACGTTTCCAGCTTGTGTCTGTACTCGATGTTCTCGCACTTAATCGCTTTCATCTTACTTCCTCATCGAATCGAATTAAGGAACACTTTGCACCAGCCCGTGGTATCGATGTTGCGATTCAATATTGTACGCCCGGTCTTTCTTTATAGTTTATGTGCATACTTGAAAATTTGGTGCGTGTTAATTTATTAATTATTAAATGTTTTCTATTTCGTGAATTTTTTACAATGAACTTTAATTAGAATTCATTTATTCAACAAATACTGATTAAACAAAACTGTCGTGGGATATTGATTTTTTTTTATATACAATCGCATTGGAAGTCGGGTTTCTTTTTTAAAGTGAGCGTACAATATTCGTGTCGCAGAGGCAAACGTCAATACGTTGACTCAACGAAGGCCTGACTGTCTGATCTACTTTGGTTCATATTACTAACTTCTATTGTTTTCGAATTTCGATCGACGTCCAAATCGTAAGGTATCCTGGATAAATCAGTTCACTTGTTGCATTCGATGGTTGATGAGAGAAGAAGTCAAAAATATTTTTTGCGTTTGGCTCATTCTTTAAACACTTTCTGGGAAGCCTTGTATCACTCCTGAATTATGTTTTCGCAAATACTAGAGTCAATTTCCTTAGGAACTATATTGCCTCGTTACCTATTCATGTGAATCCCCTCCCTGTCTTTAATCTGTGTGCCACTAAAATTTCTCTATCTGTGATTGGTTCTCTAATCAGCGCAATTTTATTTATTAATATTTTTACTTTGCGCTTGTCGATCGCATCTGTCTTCACGCTTCCGGGAAAAATGATATATTTGTCAGTTTGTTCAACGAACAGAGTTTGTAATAAAGGATTAGGGAGTAGAGTGATTCGTTATCACTGCTTGGAACAAGAAACTTGTTGCTTTTGCAGCACGAGATCCAGTCATCATCGAGAGGAGTAACCTCGTGAATATATCGAAACTGATCGTGAAGGAGCTGATCGAAACTTCCTTGAAATATGGTCGAATGCTCGACTCTGATCACATGCCGTTGCAACACTTCTTCATCGTTCTCGAGCACGTGCTCAGGCATGGTTTACGACCGAAGAAGGTAAACAGGACACCTTCGAGTTTATGAAAAGAAGTGACACTAAGGAATAATCGATTTCAGGGTCTCCTTGGGCCCAAGAAGGAGCTCTGGGATATACTACAGCTCGTTGAGAAATATTGTTCCGAGGCGCAGGACATCACGTCCAGTATTCGCGATCTCCCTACTGTTAGGTATAAAATCCTTGCTGCTTCATACACCCATGAATTTTTATTTCTGACGAAATAATGAATCCCTTTCCGACGAGAGCTTACAATATTTTTTTTTTATCGATTCTTCATTCCTTTTAATTACATGGTTCGAGAAAAGTTAAGCTAACGTTGCAAGACCGTATTTCTTGCGAGTTTCACTTGAAGCACTGTCCTTTTCAGGACTGCGATGGGTAGGGCGAGGGCATGGTTGCGTATGGCGTTGATGCAAAAGAAGCTCGCCGATTACTTGAAAGTGCTGATCGATCACAAGGAAGACATACTGTCCGAGTATTTTGAGCCCGACGCTTTAATGATGAGCGAGGAAGCAATCGTGATAATGGGTCTGTTGGTCGGACTGAACGTAATCGATTGTAATTTTTGCGTAAAGGTCAGTCGACGGATTTGTTTCCTCACTTCAACCGGGAATTAGAGAGTTAAAAACAGATTATTGTAATAGGAGGAAGACCTTGATTGTCAACAAGGCGTGATCGATTTCTCATTGTATCTTCGGAACAGCAATCACATACCTGGCGAGTCTCCCGACGACGAGCTCGAGAACGACAACATGACCACTGTACTCGACCAGAAGAATTATATCGAAGAATTGAATCGACATCTAAAGTAATTATTACTCTGAACGTGTTATATCGAATCCGTCTGGATGGTGAGCCTAGAATATTGCGTCGATTTCAGTGCGACCGTGACGAACCTTCAAGCTAAAGTGGAATCCTTGACGACGACGAACGCTCTTATGAAGGAGGACCTCGCCATTGCTAAAAATAACATACTGTCGCTTCACGAGGAGAACAGGCAGTTGAAGAAGGAACTGGGAATCGAAGTTAAGGACACGAACGAGGTACACTTCAAGGTTTCGTGGCCATCCTGGTAAATCGATGTCATCCTGGAACTGTGGACGATTTGTCTGGTTTCAGAACGGAAAAGCACCGATCAAGATCACTGAAACCACGGCGGAGATCGAGGAATTGAGAAGTAGACTAGAGGTCGAGAAGAAAGTGCGACAGGACGTCGAGAAGGAATTAGAATTACAGGTGGACCATCAGTTTTTTCAACACTGCCATTCTTGCATTTTAAATGCTGGGGAATTAATATACAGGGGTCTCGCAAATCGTAATACAACCGATTGGAAATCAGTTTTAATTACATCTTTATGATCGGAATAATTCTCTCAGTTGTATCACGATCGACGGACGGTTCTATGTTTCGCATAAAGAATGACCGGTTTACTTTTTTGCGAACAGATTAGTATGAAGTCGGAAATGGCAGTGGCCATGAAGCTGTTGGAGAAAGACATTCACGAGAAACAGGACACGATCATATCGTTGCGGCGACAGCTCGATGAAATCAAGCTGATTAACTTGGAAATGTACAAAAAGCTACAGGTGACGATTTCAATTCCTGTCCGTGCGTTAATCGCGACGCGGGATGCTTCGCAGAGTCATTTAATCGAAAACCCAATGGGACAAATTCATATTTTCAATATCTACAAAAGAAATAGAAGCCGGTTAATTACGAGGCATATCCTCGTCGCGATTATCATCTCTCAGATTTCTTCTAATAATGCTACTGCCACTCGTTGCCCCCTTCCCACCTCCGCTTTAATTTGAGCTTTTCAGAAGTTTTAATCGTTTACGATTCTTCCTCGAGTCGGATAGGCGTTCCCGAGTTTCTTGTGTTCTGGAGATATTTCCGTTATAGGAATGTGAGCACGAACTAACGCAGAAAGGCGAGATGGTGAGCCGGCTCCACGCGAAGACGAATCAGATCGGCAAGATCCTGAATAATCTCGAGAAGTGCAACCATATGAAGAAGGAAGGGGATAGCCTTCGTAGTCCCACCACGCCTAGCGGTGTCTCGAAATCCATTCTTAATAAGATCAGCCCGACCTCACCGCGTGGTTACTCATCCATCGAGAATATCCCTATGTATGACCATCAACAGCACTCCCCTAACAGTCAGCAACAGTTCGCTAACAGTCAACAAAAGCCGACCAGTAACATTCCGAAACAATCCAATAACCTTCGGAAACAATCCCACGACGATCAGAAAAGATCCAATAACACTCAGAAACAATTTAAAGACGAATCTAAAAGCACTCGGAATTCCGACAACACGCAATCTTCCATCAAACAACCGGACTCACCCAATATCAATGACGGGCAAACCAGGGTCGACGAACAAAACGGTGCTAATGAGAAAGAATCGAATAAACCTGATATCATAGAACAGTGCAAACCCAACGGCGAAGTTCCTGTGGAAGCTTCGACTGAGGCACAGTCAACTGCATAAAACATTGCCCTTAGGAAATGGTTTTTATATCATGCATCTCTTCGAACATCGTTTAACGTTTCTACTAACCAAAGGCGTATTAAATGATTCTCCCTACACGAAGTGTTTCTGAAGTATCCAATGATATTTGAAAGAAGCGTCTATATAAAATATTAGAATGTCGTGTCAATTGATAATGTAGATAAGACATGATTTTACTTTATACCTTTCGCTTCCGGAACATTTAATAAATTTGTTATTATCTTTTCAGATCGCAATTTATTCTTTCTGTATATCAAAAGATCAACCCATGCTAACTTCTTTCAGCAAGAATTTATCCCATTGTCATGATCTACACGTCGTATATACGATCGATAGATTTTTATATCAGTAAAATGAGATTCTGCCTAAGCTTATTATTTAAATCAGAATGCTGACTGTATCGTGCGATCGAAGCCTAACTGTTATGATGCACCTGTTAACGCTATGGTCAGCGCTGATCCGTGTTGGCAACGAAATGTCATTGGGTAGTTCAGAAGCACTATCATTACACGATCTGACGTATAGCTTTATCAAGCTACTCCTAGATCTCTTTAATAGGAATGACAGAACAGAAACTTGATGCCATAAAAACGGTCGACGTAGGAGGAATTAACGATGAGACGAAGTATTCGATATTTAATTATCTAGCAGTTCATGCATCGGTATAAGCTTTCGATATAACATCTATCGTGGTATGTGTTTCGATCGAGACACTCTATGGGAATTAGCTGTGCTCCGTTGCGGCATAGCCGCGCGTCGATTAATAATTAAATGCTGCTACGTTGTGTGCGCAGAACTGTCGAGGACAATAACGTTAATAGAACATTATTTTCTCTCATATTACGAAGTTTAATGATATTAACAGAGCAACAGTATGCATCAGTTACATAATAGATTATACAGTTGCATCGGTTTCTCTTTGTAGAGTGTCTCGGGTGTTTGATCCGCGATTTACCATTGGAGCGAAACGTTCCATTTTAATTAATGTTAATTATTCCGCCATAATAGTAACTTTCTTTGCCCATTAATTGATTATCGAATATCATCACATTAACGGAGGAAGCACTGTTCATTTGTATTTATCAAAGCTTCCTACAGAGCGAACGTAATGAAAGGCTATACTATCTGACAAGTTAATGACAGGTGGTTAATGTTCGTCAGCTGACAAAGGGAACTGGCATTTAACTTGTCAAAAGTGATTGGAAACTCGTGTTGCATGATTTCCGGCTAATTTTATTCGTTAATTGAAAATGATTATTATCAAAGTCCTTTATTTTAACATCGTTCCCCAATTGTAACGCTGTTATCGAGGCTGACTAGTTCGACGTGCACGTTCCATTTTTAACAAGCTCTCATATTGTATAATGTGCGAATTTCAGGGCTTAATCGAGATGCGTGCGAAACAGACATCTCCGCCTTTTACTGAAACCGAGTTTATTTCAGGAGTGCGAAGGCTCGCTTAAGCATAGAACAGAACTGATCACTAAATTGGAGGCTAAGACGCTATCGATGACTGAGAGCATCCAAAAAATGGATGAGAAGTATGTTTATTTGTCTTTCATTAGTGTTAACTGTTAATTCTTAAGCGCACGACTGATTCATCGTTAATTACGTTATAATTCAATGTCCATATTAACAGTCTCTGTCTCGTGTATATTTTCGTGTTGCTTTTTAATCGCGAGCCTCGCGTTGCTATAATCGTAAGAATTTCAAGCTTTGCGTATCGCAAAAGTTCTCGCTTTAATGCTTTATTAAAAGGTTTTGTCAGATGTTGATGGAGCATTAAAGAGGATCAAAGAATTTTTTTTTTTATGTTTAAGATAAAGTATAAATGGCTGATTTTGATAGTGTCTTCATGATTTGAACTTTAAAGAAGTTTTATATACCAAAGCCTTTGAGGATCGATGCTTTAATCAATCTGAAAATTATTAATACTATCGTTAAACAATTTTAGTATTTACGTACGAAAGCGTAGTCGTCGTGATAAAAGACTTTTTATCGGTTGTCACCGCTCGACGATTGACACGCGTGACCGACCATCGAGAAACGAATATTACGTTATGTACACGCTCGACGGCTGTAGTTAGAGGTGATTTATTTTCTACTTAGGCGTCGCGAATCGCGATCTGACTTTAGATTAGACTAGCCGTGAAACGTATAGAGAGAGAGAGAAAGAGAGAGAGAGAGAGAGAGAGAGGGAGAGAGAGAAAAGAGTTATGATTAACGGAGATGTTGGCAAACCTTCACTGAAACGGCTACTCGATTAAAATTACATTAAGTCTATATTATATATATATTATGAATTTTAATGTTATAGCGAGACATTCACGTTTACCGCAATAATTGCTAGATTTATACCTCGAATAATGATCACGCTCGATCCGAAACAATATCGGTGTATTCATAGGTGTCGAGCTTCCCGAATCGATTGCCTTGCTCGCGTGCGTCAAATATGTATCGACGCCGAGCACTTGTTTTACGTTCAATTGCCCGTCAATTATTTCAAAACCTGATCGATTAGAATTACGTATATACAGGAACTGACTTGCGATCATTTTTCTCATCCCTGACCGATCGTACACGTTCATTTCCCCCAATTTGGTTTTGTACGAAACAACAAGTCGTTTCTCGAACGCGTATTCCTCGTTGTAAGTACACGAACACACACATACACGTATACAGGCCCGTTTGTGTCGTTCACGTTTATCGAAAGAGGACTTACGAAGTGAACGTACAACGTATTATCTTTATATGAGTATAATCATGTACTGTATAAGCATCGAGCAATGGTCTTTATAACTGCACCGAGACATTACGTGTGCTTGTATATCAATGCAGCGAAAATAAATTCATGACAGAATTCAGTCTGCATTTAATTACCCTCAGATCATCAATGTACATAGACAGTAGAATACGAGTGTTTTCATTTTATAAATTTGTACAATTTTCCCATTCGTTTCTATTAATTGTAATGGATATTCGATTTTAATCGTCGTTCAAACTGCTTTAATTACGATTTCGTTTGAAATTATGTCGTGGCTGAAGGTAAGTTTTGGCTCAGCGGAGTTAGAGTCAGAGATTGGATTAACGGAATTCGGTGAGGGGAAAATAAACGAGCGGGAATTTTGCTGAATCCGTCCGCGGATTATAGTCCGAAGCCATTAAAAAAACATTCCGCCTGTTTCTTCGGCCGGATAACGGTATTCGGTCATGAATAATCATGGCGAAAGTTTCAACGAGACGCCGGCCTCCCCCCGGCCAACTTACCGATCCTTGCTTTTGTAACTTCCTTTCGGCCGGAAGCTTAATGTTTCTGCAAACTCGGCCAGCGAAACTGCGCGGGTTCCTCAAACGAAATTTTGTTTAAACGGTCTGCCGGTTATTGTACAGCCCGGTTCGTTCAAAACAAGAGATAATATCTAGATATATAATATAATAATAATTCTGCTCCAATGCCGTTTTCTCTTAGGCTAAAATCATTGTTAAATGATCGCAAGGCAGTGACTGAAATATATACGTGCATAGCTGATATAAATTGATGAGAGTATAATCAAAGTGATGTCAAGAGTTCTGATTTAATTAGTTTCACGAATCATCAGTAATCGTATCATTCTTAATTCATCCTCTTCGTCTCTACATAAAATCTCTTCTCTGTCTGTGAATTACTTAAATATTTATTGAACTTCAACCACGTAAATGTATAACATTAATGATTTGCTCTGGAAGATATTAATTGACAGATGTCGATCCTTTCGTTTCTCGATTGTCTTTCACGGGTATCGGAGTGAGTGAAAAACGTAAATGGTTTGAGTAGCAGCAGCGATTCGACTTAATCAGGTTCAAGGAAATGGACGGCGCGAGATCGGGCGCGGAGGAGAGGATGAGGATTTTGGGAGCCGAAGTCGCCGAGAGGGAGGCGAAGGCGAATGGGGTCGAGAGGGAATTGCGAGTTGAACGCGAATGGAGAACCTCTTTGCAGGAAGCATCGATCTCTAACACGGAGAAGATCTCTCAATTACATCAGGAGATCGATCAGTTGAGGCGGGTGTCCGAGGTATGTACCCAAGTGCCCACGCTCCCCGCATTCGCCGTCGACTTCTATACTATACATATTGCGTGCAGCTACTGGATAACCCGAGCCGCTTCCAAATTGGCTGGCCAAACTTTACATCAGTAGAATACGAGTGTTTTCATTTTATAAATTTGTACAATTTTCCCATTCGTTTCTATTAATTGTAATGGATATTCGATTTTAATCGTCGTTCAAACTGCTTTAATTACGATTTCGTTTGAAATTATGTCGTGGCTGAAGGTAAGTTTTGGCTCAGCGGAGTTAGAGTCAGAGATTGGATTAACGGAATTCGGTGAGGGGAAAATAAACGAGCGGGAATTTTGCTGAATCCGTCCGCGGATTATAGTCCGAAGCCATTAAAAAAACATTCCGCCTGTTTCTTCGGCCGGATAACGGTATTCGGTCATGAATAATCATGGCGAAAGTTTCAACGAGACGCCGGCCTCCCCCCGGCCAACTTACCGATCCTTGCTTTTGTAACTTCCTTTCGGCCGGAAGCTTAATGTTTCTGCAAACTCGGCCAGCGAAACTGCGCGGGTTCCTCAAACGAAATTTTGTTTAAACGGTCTGCCGGTTATTGTACAGCCCGGTTCGTTCAAAACAAGAGATAATATCTAGATATATAATATAATAATAATTCTGCTCCAATGCCGTTTTCTCTTAGGCTAAAATCATTGTTAAATGATCGCAAGGCAGTGACTGAAATATATACGTGCATAGCTGATATAAATTGATGAGAGTATAATCAAAGTGATGTCAAGAGTTCTGATTTAATTAGTTTCACGAATCATCAGTAATCGTATCATTCTTAATTCATCCTCTTCGTCTCTACATAAAATCTCTTCTCTGTCTGTGAATTACTTAAATATTTATTGAACTTCAACCACGTAAATGTATAACATTAATGATTTGCTCTGGAAGATATTAATTGACAGATGTCGATCCTTTCGTTTCTCGATTGTCTTTCACGGGTATCGGAGTGAGTGAAAAACGTAAATGGTTTGAGTAGCAGCAGCGATTCGACTTAATCAGGTTCAAGGAAATGGACGGCGCGAGATCGGGCGCGGAGGAGAGGATGAGGATTTTGGGAGCCGAAGTCGCCGAGAGGGAGGCGAAGGCGAATGGGGTCGAGAGGGAATTGCGAGTTGAACGCGAATGGAGAACCTCTTTGCAGGAAGCATCGATCTCTAACACGGAGAAGATCTCTCAATTACATCAGGAGATCGATCAGTTGAGGCGGGTGTCCGAGGTATGTACCCAAGTGCCCACGCTCCCCGCATTCGCCGTCGACTTCTATACTATACATATTGCGTGCAGCTACTGGATAACCCGAGCCGCTTCCAAATTGGCTGGCCAAACTTTACACGTACCAGCTCGACCGTGCAAATCACTTTTTACGCTACACGGTTTTTGTTTCATTCGATTATCCGAGAGCTCACTTATGATAATGTTCAACTATTCCGAAAATAGGATAAGCAAACGCAGAAGGCTTCTATTTGCGGATGCATAAATTCGTATCGCGTTTACATTTAGATACTTGTCGCCACGGTTAAATTAGAATTGTTCCCAGGAATGATCAGTTTTTCAATTATTAAATATATCATGTTTAAATAATTTCCTAGTTGTAACAGGTTCGAGACAGTTTAATCGTTCGCTCGATATTCCTCTAGAGAAAAATATTTAAACACCTCGGCCGGTTCTTTTCTGTGCACAATACTGCGTTAAGTACATGTAACTACGAAACACTTCACGTTCCCCCTTCGCGATCGATTCTTCGAGCAACCACTTCCTTCTTCGTTGGAAACTCGTTCCCCATCAATCTTCCCGAAGTTCTTCGGCGCAATCGAATCTCCTCGCTAATCGTCTACGCGGAACTCTCGGTAACAACCGGTATCGAGGCGCTAAGAACGGGACACAACTTTTCGTGGCGCGTAGTAATTTCGGCATCGTCGTCTCGCAGAAATATCTGGCGCTGCAGGAGGAGCATTACGCGTTGAAGGAGATCTGCGCGGAACAGGAACGAACTCTGGAGGAACTCGGGGGACAATTGAGCGCGGCCAAATTGGCGGCCGTCGAATTACGCGAGGCCGCTGACAACGCTCAACAGAACCAGCAGCAGCAGCAGCAGCAGCAAGAGGGTGCGCCGACCTGGGCGAACGATCGACTAGCCACCCGTTGCAAGAGTTGCAGCCGTGAGTTCAACATCACTCGTCGCAAGGTAGGTAATCAAACTTTTTAATTGTCCCCGTTTGCCGTCCGTCTCGGCTCGCCTCTTTCGTTCGTCCCTCGTCAGTCCAGCGTGAGAGGACGTGCTTAATCGTTCAATTATCCCTGCCATCCCTGGAAATTACCGGTTCCTCTGGTTCAGATTTCATTCGCACCAGGTATCCCCGTGCCCCCAGCCAGAATTCGGTGAGCGTTCTCGAACGAACCTGACGGCGTCAAGAGGTTTTATCGCTTATGGTGGCGCAGCCACGCCCGTTATTTCGCCCCCCCTTCTCTCTCTCTTGACTGAACTCTCGACTCGAAAATCGGAATCGCGTGCACTCACGCTGGAGAACTTTGATGCATGACAGTTCTGTTATTAGAGATAACACGGTGTATCGGGCTGCGTTAGGTCTTGCAATTACAAGCAGCCCCGATCCTCGTTTGTTGGTAGTCCGTGCCCTTCCTTCCTTCCTTCCTGTCTTGCCCAACCGACGGATAATTGAAGAGATTTCACCGTGGATTTTTGATTAGATTCTATCGCGGTGCTCCGTTACGATGCCTCCAAGTTTGTACAGTAATTAGGGAAGATATTTATACGTTATACACGATTGCACTAAATGTTTTACATCAACGTTAAATCTGTACCTGAGAAAATCGCTTTAATTTTATTACGTAATTACCTACACGACAAATTAGGTTCCAGATTCTTGCTTTGATATGCCAATGAAAGTTTTGACAATTTTTGAAATGCGAACAATTTTACAATTCTCTTTCTATCAGTACCCGTGTTCATTACATATTCCATTATCGTTATATTGTTTGATTTCACTTTGTGAGAAATTCGAATGAACGATTTCCCGGGTACAAATCATTTTTCATAGTGAATTCGAAAACAGGCAACGCATCTGATGTTATATATAGCACGAGGCATTAAAAGTATTGGAGTAACTGATTGAAGTGATATTTTTCCCAGATAATCTCTATTCTAGTTTTCCTTAATAAAGTTCATAAAACTGAATTGATATTCGATTAAATTCAATTTGGATTTGCATACATCACATTCTTTTCTTAAATATATCGGGAAATGTTTATTAATGATATACATAGTGGCTATTATCAGGAATATGTGTCATTAAGAGTACGCTGGCAGACTATGACTATGGTATTTAAAAGCTGGAATATTCTGTACAATTTATTTCACATACACAAATATTCAGAACGGAAACTTTACTTCAGAAACAACGATCAATCGGGCGTAGCGTGACGGCAAGGCGCGAAGAAAAGTAATGCCAACGAATTTTTCCTTTTTCCCCGACTTGCCGAATCACGCGGAGGCACGACACAGGCGTTTAAAGTATCCCGTCGGGATCAGATCGAGTTTCGAGGCGTGTAGTTGCGTGCATTGATAAGAAACAAAGAGTGGAAATATTCGTACATTCGTCATACAGGAAAGTGCACGTTCGAATTTACATTACACTACTTGAACGATATAGATTGTTAAAATCATTAATGCATCTGACATACATTACTCTCAGACGGATCGTAAATAACGTTTCTATATAAAGACTTGTGAAATAAATTGTTTATTTGACATGAAAAGAATGGAACAGTGTATCGAAATATAAAATGTAAATGTTTGAATTCATTGAGTAGAGAATCAGGTCATCATTAAACCAAATGCATATCACATGCTGTGGCTAATAAACATATATATATATATATCTATTTTGGAATTTCTGGAGATTCATTAATTATGCATTGAGTTACCAAATTACGAATTTAGTGAATCAATTTTCAACTCTAATTTATTATACATCATATGTACGGCGATCTTAATCCTATTTTCATGTTCATAAAGTGGTGATAAATTTTGTCTGGTATGAAAATATTTCTATCACCTTGACGAACATGATGAATGCATATTATAATTAATTTTTTTTAAGCACACAATACGAGATACTAAATTTGCATGGATTTCACCTTGTTCTGGGTAATTTTAAAAAGAATTTCTTGACTTTGCAGTTGAGTGCCGTAGAGCTTTTTATTTCTAAATAGCAGACCGTGTGGCTTTAGAACGGCAGCAAGAACAAAATTCGCTGCAAGAAAGATGCTTCTTTACATTCAGAAGATAAGCTGAAAGCGTCTTGTACAGCTTGTATGACTCTAAAAACTTGGCTACGCGCCGCCACGTAAGCGCAGATACCGCAAATGTATAGGGCGGAAAACGTTAAATGCCTTTAATGAAATCTGTGATAATGACGATCCGAATTTGCAGAGAGCGAGCGCATGCAAACGCAAATGTATGCAACTTCTATCTCGAGCGATATTACACCCGAAATTCCAGAAGCCAGAGGTGCAAATGTTTTGGGTACAAATCATTTTTCATAGTGAATTCGAAAACAGGCAACGCATCTGATGTTATATATAGCACGAGGCATTAAAAGTATTGGAGTAACTGATTGAAGTGATATTTTTCCCAGATAATCTCTATTCTAGTTTTCCTTAATAAAGTTCATAAAACTGAATTGATATTCGATTAAATTCAATTTGGATTTGCATACATCACATTCTTTTCTTAAATATATCGGGAAATGTTTATTAATGATATACATAGTGGCTATTATCAGGAATATGTGTCATTAAGAGTACGCTGGCAGACTATGACTATGGTATTTAAAAGCTGGAATATTCTGTACAATTTATTTCACATACACAAATATTCAGAACGGAAACTTTACTTCAGAAACAACGATCAATCGGGCGTAGCGTGACGGCAAGGCGCGAAGAAAAGTAATGCCAACGAATTTTTCCTTTTTCCCCGACTTGCCGAATCACGCGGAGGCACGACACAGGCGTTTAAAGTATCCCGTCGGGATCAGATCGAGTTTCGAGGCGTGTAGTTGCGTGCATTGATAAGAAACAAAGAGTGGAAATATTCGTACATTCGTCATACAGGAAAGTGCACGTTCGAATTTACATTACACTACTTGAACGATATAGATTGTTAAAATCATTAATGCATCTGACATACATTACTCTCAGACGGATCGTAAATAACGTTTCTATATAAAGACTTGTGAAATAAATTGTTTATTTGACATGAAAAGAATGGAACAGTGTATCGAAATATAAAATGTAAATGTTTGAATTCATTGAGTAGAGAATCAGGTCATCATTAAACCAAATGCATATCACATGCTGTGGCTAATAAACATATATATATATATATCTATTTTGGAATTTCTGGAGATTCATTAATTATGCATTGAGTTACCAAATTACGAATTTAGTGAATCAATTTTCAACTCTAATTTATTATACATCATATGTACGGCGATCTTAATCCTATTTTCATGTTCATAAAGTGGTGATAAATTTTGTCTGGTATGAAAATATTTCTATCACCTTGACGAACATGATGAATGCATATTATAATTAATTTTTTTTAAGCACACAATACGAGATACTAAATTTGCATGGATTTCACCTTGTTCTGGGTAATTTTAAAAAGAATTTCTTGACTTTGCAGTTGAGTGCCGTAGAGCTTTTTATTTCTAAATAGCAGACCGTGTGGCTTTAGAACGGCAGCAAGAACAAAATTCGCTGCAAGAAAGATGCTTCTTTACATTCAGAAGATAAGCTGAAAGCGTCTTGTACAGCTTGTATGACTCTAAAAACTTGGCTACGCGCCGCCACGTAAGCGCAGATACCGCAAATGTATAGGGCGGAAAACGTTAAATGCCTTTAATGAAATCTGTGATAATGACGATCCGAATTTGCAGAGAGCGAGCGCATGCAAACGCAAATGTATGCAACTTCTATCTCGAGCGATATTACACCCGAAATTCCAGAAGCCAGAGGTGCAAATGTTTATTTTCGAAATTCGCCTGTAAAATATCCTGTTTGATAGCTTCGTCATCAGTCCTTTAGCTATATTAATCATCAAAATCAAATGACTTCAATCATAACGTAAATTATGCATGAAAAAGGGACGTCACGTACGTGATATTCATATAAAAAAAAAACTTTTACGAATTCATTAAAAAATATGTCGAAGTCTCCATCCGGGATACGACCATCCAAATCGCATTTTAACTCGCGACGGATCACTATGAATACCGAATAAAATCGCGCAATTCCATTGAAACTTCCTAGCCCCAGATAAACATATCTAGTCAATACGAAAAGCTTTACTTACGGCGCAATCACATTAGCTCCGGCACCCTTCGAACGGTACAACCGACCCGACAGTTCAATGCATGCACGCTCAACCATGCATATTCAGCGGCCGATAGAGACGTTGGCCTGCGAAGGCGCATTTAGACCTCGGTTTCTTCCGGCGTTTTTTTCTCTTCCCTCCTTGCATAATACGTCACCCCCTCGCACGGTCCCGGCGAAGACAGGGACGGTAGTCTCGCGGACGAGGAACGGGTGGTAAGTTATTGCATAATAACAAGCCAGACACCCGGGACATCCTTGTTACTCATTTTTCGTGACGCGACGAGTATTACCATACTGTTTAATATAGAATAGGCGAGCACGGCGCGAAGAACGTGTTTGTTGTCCATGGACAAAAGCTGTCGGTGGTCCGCTGATGACGGGCCACGTTCAAAAGCAGTGTTCCTTCCAAAAACCGAAAAGTTCGGGCTTTTAACACCCCTCGCTCCGCTTGTGTTTTTAAAATCAAAGGGCTGTGTACAGATGGGGAGAGAGAGAGGGAGGTCCGAAACGTGCAAAGTTTATAAATTAATATTACTTTGGTTCTTGATTTAAAATATTGATAATAAGTGTTACACATCGCGGAATGGGGAGAATAGGTGAGTCAGGTAGCGATCAATCAATTTTTAACGAATTGGAACTACATATGTGTATGTTATTACTAATACACGTATAAAGAAATTTCATGAAATAATTAGTGTACATATATGTATAGAAAATATCTAGTTTTTTTACGAGAAATATTTCCATACTGCTTTAAGGTTCACTCGAGCTGTTAATATCAGGAAATTACATTTCTTTATTCATAGATTTTTATCATTGTGTGAATATGAAGGTGCATAGGAATTATTTCTAAAAAGGTGCATTATGAAATGCTTGAATTTAATGAAGTTCTTTTAAATATAAATTAATGACAAAAGTCTGATAGACAATTCATTTCTCTCTGAAACTGAAATTTAAGCATTTCAAATTTTATGTCTGAAAATGCATTTAGCGAGCTTCTTGAATGTTCATAGAAAATTTCAACGGAATTCGTGTATGATAATCGATAGTACGAGGTGCAGGATGTTAAAACGCATAAATTGCAAATTGGAATGAGGAGCCGTAACAGTCTCGCTGCGTCATCGGCCGCTATCGATTCGATGCACAGATGTTAATAAGTGAAGCGCACCGAACATCTTACGCGTCGCCGATAACACAAAGCTATGGCGTATCGCGTCTAATGAAACCCTTTAATGAAATTTCAATAATTGCATTCCATCCTCACCGCGTTATGAATGGCTCTCCTTGATACCTTTTTTAAAGAAATATTCTTTGACACATTGTTATGTTTATTACTGTACTTTAAAAATAGCTTATATTATATATAAATTATTTTTGGTACATTGCACGTATCGTTATTTAATTGCTGGAATCATTAAAAGCGCATCAGTTGCGTTAAATTGCTTTTAAATGCCGCTAGTATCGAAGAAGAAAAAAATCAATAGTAAACGATACGTATAAAAACAATTTGAATAAAAGAATTGTATTTTATAAAATAATTCTAGTATTAGAATAGAGTCAAGTTAATTAATAATTTTTTCAATTGTACGTTTATTAATGAATTTTTAGCATCATATATAATTGCAGTAAATTGCAGTCGAATAGGCAAGAGAGATTCACCGCACCTCGGATAACTCGGCGGCTAACTATAATAACGTGACATAAATATCTGCTCCGAATCTGAAATTTAGATAACCCACTAAAGAACCACCGTCGGCGCGACGATTATTAAGATTTAACATAAATTCCGTAACGAACTATAACGAGCTATTCCTTTATACGCGAACGCCGGCTCAACTTTGAACCGGGAAACAGCTGCGAGCAATACGAGTAAGTATGCCCAATTAGGTTAACTACCTATCTGGAGTAAAAAAAAAAAAGAGCGGTTCACGCGATCGCGTGGAAAATGAGTGAATATACAGTTCACAGTGGAAATCATAGTTAAATGTGAATTAAGGTATGCAAAACACATATGCATACTGTTGATTTTGGTTTATCCTGCTTTCATTATTTATTCCAAGGGTCTTGCTAGGTGTATTGATTTCTCTCTCTAAGATTATACCTGCAAGATAATTCTAGAGAATTTCTAGAGAGAATGAGAAAAGAAGTACAATGGGAACGATTAAAGTTTGCATAATTAACTGCACCTAAGCGTACAGATTTCCCTTTGATGTTTCCGCAAATCGTGAAAAAATCTTCCTTACGTTAACTCCTAAGTAGGTATAAATTTTTCACATCCAGGCCTCTCATGATGCAGATCATATATTTTCATGTCGTTCTTTAATATGGTAAAGGATCTGGTCGAAAAATTATGCTTGTGAATAGTTTGAGAATTATTACGTCATGTATTTCACGTTATGATCATTCAGTGGTAATCTCTTATGTGGAAACTGATTTATTCCTGTTGGAAAGTATAAGTAGGTATCTATCACACGGAAACGGAAAATCGCGATGAACCCGAGGGGCAGATACGAAGCTCGTTGGTTCTTCTCGTAAATTCACGCGGATGGGACGGTTCAATAATTAAGTTCGCGTGGAAATCGGTTATCGGGATGATATTATTCGGCCTCTTACTCCTTCGGTTATAACCGACAGCCAACGAACCGTCGAACGAACCAAGGAATCAGTGAACGACTCGCAATCTTACTTAAGGGATTCAATTTAGATGTAAAATTCAGAGTGGTGTTCGGGCCGGATCCCCTCCTTTCTCCTTTTCAGACGACGAATTCCACATTATTATAATAGACGGTCGGTAATGGCTCGAAAATAAAGACCACCGAGGTAATGGAGAAACCGTGGATAGCAAGGAGGAAACGCAGCCCCGAACGGACTTGAACGTATATAGGCGCCATAAACTCACCTCTTTGTTCCTTCATCGACCACCTTTTTACCCCCATCGCGTTCGCGAATCTTCGAGTGTTTCTTATTGTCCGTTCCTGATGACCTCACCTCCATTGCTTTTCGTTACGAACTGTCTTTAGTTCTCACGTCTGGCGTTATTTACATAGTACAAATCGTGAAAACTTAAGAATATTACATTTGATTTCTGTACAGTATATTATTCAATTTCAAACTATATTTTATAATTAATCATGTTAATCATATTAATTGTATTTTAACAAAAACCAGCAATTTTAGTAACAATCACCATTGGAATTCCGGTAATTGAAGATAATTATTTCATTTGCCGATGTTAACGGTAATCATTACAGCTGGACAATTATCGTTAGCCATTCCGCAAAAACGAAATGGCACAATTTCGTCGTCCAGATTTTAATGAACGGAATTACTTCTCGCTTTGGTAACATGGCAATGATTAATTAAAATTGTACCAAATTATATAAGCGTCGTCACAGTTCGAACATAGGAGCAAAAATAAACTAACACACACGCGTATGTGCTCTGTTAAAATGTAAATTTTTTTAAATGTTCTATCAATGCATAAATCTAGTATATATTTCCATTTTATAATAAATAATTAAAAGACCGACTTAAACTGTTTTTTTTTTTAGCATTTAGTTTCACCTAAACGTGTTTCTACTTTACGAAACAGATTAACAGTAACAACAAATTACTCTTTAGGTGTAGAATCGAGATTTCTCTTTACCAAGTCGTTCAGCATTATTCTTACGTTATTTGAAAGGAGTAAAAAGAAAATGATATTTCGCAAGATTAAACGCACTTTTCCCTGAAATTGACACAGGGACAATGGTAGCGTGCCGGGGCATGGCAGGGCGGCGCGGTCGGGGGGAGAAAAAAGCTCTGTTGTCCCCGTGCCAGCTTCAGGTACAAGCCCGTGAACTTTTTTCAACTTTCACGAACATAATCCGCGACTGCGAGCCGTGTTGCGCAGAATTCTTTCCCAACCATCTATTTTGTCGACGCGATGGCCAAATGAAATATGTAGGAGCAGGGTTTATGATATTTAGTAAGATTAAATAAAGTATATCGACGTTCGTGTTTGAAATTGAAAATGATCATAAATAGAGGAATTTATTAATACTGCCTTACGTCGATATTTTTGTAGAAACAGACGATATATTATAAGAAGTATTTTATCTCCAAATATTAACATAGATAATTCGCATTAACATTATTTCTTTGAACGTACGTGAAGCGTGATGAGAAATTTCACAGCTACGTCAGAACGTATATTTTTTAAATACGTGCTCCGCAGGTATATTAATTGGACTAAATTATTCATAATTTGAAACGTTGTTGCCTGCTTCGTATTAAGTAAGCGATTAATGCACTGAGTCGATCCACACTTTCGCGTGTTGGATGTTCCACTTTTGCAATTACGTGTAATTAGAGAATTATCAGTTCTGGGAATTTCTCGGGCCCGCTAGATTCTTCTCATTTTTATTTTCCCATCCTCAACGTTCTCACGAAAATTCCACTCATCGGAATTCTCCAACACGTTCGTACTTTTTACTGAACCAACATTTTTATCAGTGCAAAATCTGACTCAATTATGGCAAGAGTAAGTTGACGTTCGATCGTTACACAAATTGATTAAACGATGTATAATAGCAAAATTTTAAAATCAAACAAGTTAATCGAAGGAATCTTGTGTAAAATTGACAACGCCAGTAATTAGAAATGGTATCGACATAGTTATCTCTAATATTGAAATCATTCTATAAAAATTTTATTTTAATTAAATTATATTACTTAATGAATAATATTTCTCATGAATGCACTAAAAGGTTCCATTCCGTCAAACCTCCTCTCTGTTGCATCCATTTAAGGAAATTAAATAAAATTGTAGACATGAAGAATGAGTGCTTCCAATGTGTTTTCTATTACATTGACTAGTAATAATTGAATACATACTACTTTTACAGATCAGGTTTTAAAGACATAATGTATTGGCTTTTATCTTGTATTCACCATAGCATTTTCATAGTAAAATCATAAATCATCCCTTATCATTTAATACTTGCGGATATTATTTAATCGCAATAAATCAATATTTTTGTTTCAGCATCACTGTCGAAATTGCGGCGAGATCTTCTGCAACGCGTGCAGCGATAACAGCACGGCGCTGCCGAACTCGACGAAACCCGTCCGCGTGTGCGACGAGTGTTACGTGTTCTTGGTCGGCCGATACTCGAGCACGCGTTAACGTTAGCGCGTGCTTAGGTAAGTGAGTGCCGCGTCTCCCTCGGCGAACGCGTTTCGTTTCACGCGGGAACGTTCTCAGAAAGGAAATAACACGGAAGGAAAGGATCTGGCCCCGCACACGTACACGACGTCCACGACGAACCCCGCTTTTATTCGGGACCTTATTCGAGCTCGTTCATTTTCAATTCGATGCACGCGATTGTCCGAAAAGCTGACGACCTCGCCTCGCGTCCAGTTTCCTTTTCATCGCGTCGTATCATCGCGCGACGTTTTACAACACCTGAACCAAGCCATTTTTGTACGCGGCCAAATCGAGTCTCGGAATAATTTTCGGATTAGGAGCGGTGCAAAAAATATTTGTGAATTCTTCTTCATTTTAATATTAAATTTATATACATATGTACAACGTGTAATGCACGTGGACAGGACGATTTCGACAAGATTTTATAGAAATTGTATGCTATATTCATTTTCAAAAAGTTCATAATAAGTTAATTAAAAGCTACGAATTCTAAGCCACTGCGAAATGATTTATATAGATAAGTCACCGAACGTGATAGGTGTCGAATGAAAAACATTAATTATTTAACACAGTTGAACTATTCTTATTTTAGTTTGAAGATAAAATTGATGAAATTCGGTCTAAAAATTTCTATTTTATTCATGGACGTGGGTATCCGCAAATACTTTTTGTATCCACTCGGCTGAAAATAGTCCCTATTTTCGTTAAAAGCACAACCTGAAAAAAATAACTGATTAACAATCAAAACACACGTCGATGTATACACACGTATTTTGTATAATTATGTATGTCTCTCTGTTTTTCGTAAAGTTTTAGATATGGTTAGCTCCTTTTGCGATGGATTGTTATATTAAGAAAGAGAAAGACGCTTGACGAATGTTAACGAGTATTTTATATTCAAATTATTATACGCGGATCCGCCCTTGGGTCGTCGCGTTGTGAAAGGTATTTACGAAACGCGTGCCTGTACGATGATATTTTTCAAATGTTCTGTAGCATCGCGGAGAGATTTTATGCGAATAAAAGGCTGGTTTTATATTTATCGTCTTTCTAATTCCCCACGTCCCCTTTACAGGCAACGTGTGCACGAATGATTTATACACATTCGCGTGTAAATCTTTTCGCAGATTGCACAAGGTAAGTAGGAAAGAATTTGTTGGTTTCTTTTCCGAAATTAGAAAATGTCTCATGAGGTATCATAGCAAAACCTCGCATGATACATCTAATCAGAAGGAATTTTAAAAATTGCTCCATCAACCCCAATCATTGCTGATCAAAACCATTTTATAATAAAAGAAGCAGCATGATTAAATCTCCGAAATCTATTATATGAAATCATTTTGCCTATGAATTATCTTGATCCCAAGCGGTAGTTAAATTGCGCCCATTGGTCAAATCGAATATACGAGAACGTGAGAGAATGTAAAATGGGCGAGCGCCGATCGCTGTAATATCTCATTCGGTAACATTAAAGAATAAATCGCGTTCGAGGGGAGTGACCCGCGGAAGGTGGGATGGAGAGACGCTTCCAGCCACGCGGAAACCGTGCCCGGTTAGAAAGTGTGGCGACCGTAATGTGCAATCTACCTGCCGAACGTAAATCCGTTCCTCATACTGCATACACCGTTCTCTTTAATCTTTGCGGGCGTAGAACCGCACGCCACACCACGGCGCGCCGCCTCGCCACCACCGGCGTCGTTGGAAAAGCAGTAAAACAGTCCCTGGCCACCTTCCACCGGTGCTCTTATCCTTTCTCCACGTTAACAATGCTTGCCCGCCGCGAGATCGTACGATGCGACTATGTACAACCTTCTGTACATATGTACGACCCTCTGTTCTATTTTAATAAGTTCGCCGGATTCCGCAGCCGAGCCCACGGAACCTCGTGCAATAATTTAACTGCGATCCAAAGAATTTTAGGTAGGTTTATACTTTAATTGATCCATTTGTTTGGATTAATTCAATCCTGGCTGCATAATTTACAAGTTTTTTTCTTAAGAAGATTTGATGGCTGTTTCTAGTTTAAGATTTTTTTTTCAAAATTACGAAAAATGCTTCGAATAAAAGTTGTTTTCCTTCTAACTTCGATATTTAACGAGTTACGTATGATTATTTGTTTTTTTGTTGTTTATTATTAGCAATGTTCTTCCGACATCTGATTTCATTTTAAAAAATGCGTTTCTAAAGGATTGACTGTATAGCCAATAAATCTTTAATCAGACAGTGCGGTAGGTTTCATGAGATTCAGTAGTACGACCAAGGCATTAGCCAGACAGTCATATCGTACTGCATAAATACATATACAATTTGCTTGGTTTTAACGGGTCTACGTCGAATCAAAATGGAGCAGGCGTATACACTGATGTGTCTGCGATGTATGGTAGAGGGAGTTATCGGTGTCGTGTTACACGTGTGCTCGCGAGGCTTGCCGGCTGACTGCGGTAAGTTCGGAAGGGTGGTTCCGAGCGGTGGCGGCCGTCCGTGTAGGCCAACTTGTCGGCTATCTACGACTTTCGAAAGCTCGTTAGCCACGAGCGTGCACGCTTAAACGGCCGCTAAATTGAAATCGATCCCTCCAGCTTTTGGCGTCTATCCCTCCCAGCACCGACGCGGTGTTTCTCGAGGATCCGACCGCGGGAACACACTCGTACCGTAGGGTACCTAACCGAGCCCACGTGCCTCGCACGAACGTGCACGCGACAATCTTGTTAAACTCCAAACGCAAGCTCGTTGTTTTCGGAAAGAGGGTCGTTACACTCGCCAGCCAACTAGACTCGCTCCCAAGATTTCTGCTGAAGCTACTATATATTTAAACTATCAATCGACAGCTTTTCATTTATAAATCGTTCCTCGTTCGATATGACGAAATATAAAATAAAAGATCGTTCTTTCTTGTGGACACAAATTTAATATCATGATTGATTATACGTTAATATAATGTATGACGCTAATGGAATATAAATTGATAGAATGTAACAGATTTTCGACGTGCAGAGATTCGTGGACGTAAGTAGGAGAGTGATTTCCAAAATAACGACATAGACAGGCTTAGGTACAGGTTTACCCAGCTGATTTTGGCTGATCATGCAAATAAAATAATTCTCAATGCATAACGGCATTAACGATGGTATGGCGTGTTTTAGCGACCCGTGGCACGCCGTGCCTTGAATCGCGAGCGCGTAATGCCTTCACTTCGTCGGCGTAGCCGGACACGCGAAATGTTTAAAGCTCACGTTATTACGTCGTAAGACTCTTTTGTACTTCTTTACGGATTACAGGAAACCGTTGGTGAAACGCGCTTAAATGTTAATAATACAGTTTTGCGTGCTCGTTGCTCGAATGAGAAAACGCTGCGTGTAAATCAAGCGGATGCATAAACTCGACGAAATTTTCTAAAACCTTGTCAGTTCCATAGTCGGGATGGAAATTAAAAATATAAATCAAAGGACTAATGATAATGAACTTGTTCTGAACCTAATAATAACGCAATTGCTAAATTGTGTTTTTGATGTACATTCAACCGAACTGGAATTGTTATATTACTGGCTGACTTGTCGGAATTCAGCGAACATAAAATGATACGTGTGTATCTTCGCAATGGGTGCATGCGGATATAATCAATAAAAGCTTAAAGTCAACGCTATGCATGCGTGTTCAATTTGTTTCACGCATAAAACGTTAATTCGTTAAATTCAGATTAAATTAATGTAAACGTTCTACGCTATTTACTTGCCTTAGTTTCATCAGCGAATTGCTTACACAATAGCTTTATTCATATTTGGAATTACTGATTGGGTAGAAACATATATATTTAATATTTATCAATTTTTAATTAGTATAACATATAATATTTATCAATCTTTAATTAGAGTAATGAATAATTTTAATTGTTAATTCATTTATATTATGCGTAATTCTAGAGACAATAGTGATAATAATAAATACCATAGTTATTATTTACTCTTGTTATAAAATAATTATTATATTTTGAACGAATCTTTTCCTTTTAGGTAGAATTTCGTTCTTATTGCGTACACGAAGAGACGGAATAAGTAATTCTAAATAGTACTTACTAAGGTGTTGAATTTAATATGTAATGAAATAGGTTTAAAACAATTTTGATTAAAACTTCCTGTGCTTCGCGCAGTTAAATTGTCTCGCATCCAAGTGCTCGTATCAGTGGAAATAATTTTTTATTACAATCGTAAATATTTATTCATTCAATTACGTTATACAAGTTATAAAAATAATTCATGTACCTACAATTTAGTGTTTTGTATAGAGGTAGGAGTTATAACTCCAACAATTGAAAAATACCTCGAATCTGTTAAATTTATAAATATAAATGTACGGGTAGATATGAAATAGATATAGAAGAATAAACTGGACATAGCCCTGCGAATTCGTTACACGCCAACTAAAAATTTGTACGCGCTTCTTCAGACAGGAAAGTTTACAATGTACCATTGTTGGAGGCTGTCTACTTTTAACGAGCTGAAAATTCACGTTCAACTCAATGAATTACCATCAACGTGCGATCGGCGCGAAACGAAATCGTGCAGGTCGCGGGATACGATTACGAAAGCAAAGAGCGAGGTGCGAGAAAGGGAGAAAAGAAAGAAAATTTTGTGGAAGATTCTGTGATGCATCGGAGCGGGGAAAGTTATGTGTAGTAGCGAAAACAAATAATCGTTTTCCGTAACAATGCGCGCGGCAAGCTGCTTTGTATTTTATTGTTGCTGCCGCTCGCGTGTTTACCCTGAAAATTCCGATTTATCGGAACAAATGGATTTATGACCGCGAGCCCGATATTTCCAAAGCGTGATCAAAAATTGATTCCCGCCTTCCTTCGTACCTACTCTTATCCTATTCGTCCGCGGACACGTGAACTGATTACGCTACCAGTTTCGCGTGAAAGCTACTACACCAGTAAATGAGAGAACAATTTTTCACGCGAATCCGCAGTCGCTTATTGGACAGTTGACCCTCGGAATTGTGCAAGTCAGCATTTTTAAATAAGAATTTGATTTACAGACTATTGAAACTCGGTTTTCTGATTAAAATTCTGTAAATTGGGATTGACGGAAGCTTGAGGATTCATGGAGGTTGATGAATATTTCCTTGTGTTCGGGAAAATAGAGCAAGAAAATGAAAAATCGTTAGCGAACTCGGTATCAAGTGGTTTCAGAAAATACCTTTTGACCAGCCTGAGCAAATCGGTCAAATATTTCTCGACAGACCATGTTCATCGACTTGAAAACCTTCGTTCTAAAAGGATTGAAATCCCGAGCTCGCTAGGCGATATTTCTGAAGTGAAGTGCTTATGTTCTATTTTACTACACTCCAAACATTGATTTCTGATCGATTGAACGGTACGTTTGAAATTGTGCTTGAAGAAAATGATTATGAAATAGATATAGAAGAATAAACTGGACATAGCCCTGCGAATTCGTTACACGCCAACTAAAAATTTGTACGCGCTTCTTCAGACAGGAAAGTTTACAATGTACCATTGTTGGAGGCTGTCTACTTTTAACGAGCTGAAAATTCACGTTCAACTCAATGAATTACCATCAACGTGCGATCGGCGCGAAACGAAATCGTGCAGGTCGCGGGATACGATTACGAAAGCAAAGAGCGAGGTGCGAGAAAGGGAGAAAAGAAAGAAAATTTTGTGGAAGATTCTGTGATGCATCGGAGCGGGGAAAGTTATGTGTAGTAGCGAAAACAAATAATCGTTTTCCGTAACAATGCGCGCGGCAAGCTGCTTTGTATTTTATTGTTGCTGCCGCTCGCGTGTTTACCCTGAAAATTCCGATTTATCGGAACAAATGGATTTATGACCGCGAGCCCGATATTTCCAAAGCGTGATCAAAAATTGATTCCCGCCTTCCTTCGTACCTACTCTTATCCTATTCGTCCGCGGACACGTGAACTGATTACGCTACCAGTTTCGCGTGAAAGCTACTACACCAGTAAATGAGAGAACAATTTTTCACGCGAATCCGCAGTCGCTTATTGGACAGTTGACCCTCGGAATTGTGCAAGTCAGCATTTTTAAATAAGAATTTGATTTACAGACTATTGAAACTCGGTTTTCTGATTAAAATTCTGTAAATTGGGATTGACGGAAGCTTGAGGATTCATGGAGGTTGATGAATATTTCCTTGTGTTCGGGAAAATAGAGCAAGAAAATGAAAAATCGTTAGCGAACTCGGTATCAAGTGGTTTCAGAAAATACCTTTTGACCAGCCTGAGCAAATCGGTCAAATATTTCTCGACAGACCATGTTCATCGACTTGAAAACCTTCGTTCTAAAAGGATTGAAATCCCGAGCTCGCTAGGCGATATTTCTGAAGTGAAGTGCTTATGTTCTATTTTACTACACTCCAAACATTGATTTCTGATCGATTGAACGGTACGTTTGAAATTGTGCTTGAAGAAAATGATGAAAGAGTATTGATTTCTTCCTTTCCGAAGGGACAAAGTTATTAAAATTTATAAAGATTGAAATCCTTTGAGCTCTTAGTGCGTAAGCTAAGGCATAAATGACTAAACAAATAACGTTTATGTTCTCCGTGTAAAGAAAGCATAAAGGATTTGCCTTTACGTGCTTACTGAGTACGTAAAAGTACCCTTTTAAGAAGACTATTATACCTTAGTGTCACATTCGATGGGATTTTTATGATTATTACATATGCTTTCCAGCTGCGTAAATTGTTACTTAACTCCGTGAACCACGGTTCATATTTTCGAAATATATTATTAAAAGTTCGATACGAGTTTCATGTAGTAAAAATATAGTCGGCTACATACGTATATAGTTAAATACAAAAATATTTCACTTTATCCACACAGTTCCATAATTATATTTCAGAAAGTGCTTATTATTTCACTCTGTATTTTCCATTTTCCTGAGTGTGTTTCCAGATACATTTCGAGAGTGAGTTTCATTCTCTTTGAGAACAATCGTTTTCGAGATTTCGTTTGCAATCCATTGCCCGATTGAACGTTCCATTTTTTTTATTTTTAGGTGTCATTCCAATTTTCAACGCGGACGTAATCAAACACGTGCTGGGTTATAGTTTCGAGGGGTGCGATGGTACAGCAGCTCGTGCGGCTAATGCTCCGATTACGGCGAGATGAAGCAACAAAATGGAGCGACACACTCGGTATAAACAGTGCCATAAAAGATCCGTAAAAGCTACGTTAGCCGTTAGCTGAAGCCGGAGGAAGAAGGAACAGATAACGCGTTTTATACTTTGCATATCTTTGATAATTGGAACAGAACGTTCATTGATTTAATGTAAATCTGACGAAGATCTGTAATTATGTAAAGTAAATTTTGTGACCATTCCTTCGTCAGGCTCAGATTATTATTTATATTATTTGGCACAATTACTTCAATATAATTTAAAAATACATATGCATATGTACAATGGACGAAATTAGTTAACGGAGCAATTCTGATTGTGAGATAACCCAGTTAAAATCGAGCTTCGGGAAACTCGGTCTCAACGAAATTACTGGTACAGGTCGCATTCGCTTTTGGCGTTTTCAGTTTGGCCAGCGGCCGACGCGGCGTTGCGAGTAGGAACGTTTTTGTAAGTTCGATTAAACCCGATGCGCACCGTGCAATTTGTATTCATCAATGCGCGAGTAATTCTTAAAGCTTGTTATAATAAGTTTTGTTAGCCGGAAGTGGAAGGAAAGTTGAATGCCGCTTTCAACTTGATAATTAATTACTGCGAAACGACATAACGGTGTGATCCCGAACAAATTGAAGGGAAATCTCGTTACTTATGCATGAGAGGATAAACCGAACCCGTACAACTTCGCGTCTTCAATTGGTTTTTAAATGCCCCGTGGAGAAATACGTAAACAGACGAAAGATGCAATTAAACTGCACTCTAAGTTCGTAAATACATGTTGGCAAATTTTTTAACGAACCTATCATGCAATTTTACAGGATAAATAAATAATCTCACTTTTATACAAATTCATATTACGCAATGGATCGGAAAGATTTTTACGTATTTGGGTAACTGTGTTCGAATAATTAAAAAGCTTAAGTATGGAGCAGAGAAGGTACTGTTAGAAACTAATACTTCATTCTCGGCGTCCCGGGACGGAAGAATCCGTGACACAGGCCCCTTCTCAATGATGCAATTAACCGGCTTTTAAGACTTCAGTTGGCCAGAACGTGAAAGGGCCGAAGAGATAGAGAGGAAAATCTTAAAGCAATTACCGGCTAATGTAATTAGCATGAAAAGTGACTGGCACGGGACGGAAGGAGAGAGATGGAGAACGAGCGAGAGAGGGAAAGCTCTCTGTTAACCCTCTTGTAGCGCGAAGAGGCACTCGTGTCGGCGTGCCTCTGCCTCTGGTCGCCGCACCGCCGGGACGATTGTAAACAGATATTTTCGCGATAGTTTCTTCGCGGGTGCGCGCAAGCGCCTTACGGTTGGCGGCAAAGCGTCGCGACGCCGAGCGTCCCGACGCCACGGTTTGCCAGTCAGTTGACGTAGCCGCGTCGTTCACGTAACACAATATGCTCTCGGTTATCGCGGGCACGGTTTTCTACATCGCGACATGGGCATCCGCGCTGAACGATCCGCTGTCAGGTAAATCGATCAATCACCTGATTAGCAACACATTTTTTTACACTCGGAATTTCCATCGCACCGGAGCTAATTCGTTCTCCTCGCTTTAGTTAATTAGATCACGTTGTTGCAATGTTCTTTGCTGGATTGTGTGTACTTAAACAGGTGTGCAGTGTTTAACCCTTTCGATTGAAGATATCTTGGTGGAAGATCATTGTGAAACAAATTTTTTTACTACTTGTAACTGAAAAGAGTTAAAACGTTATTTGTATAATGATCGATACGTTTTCAGTAGTTTCATTTTTGTCACAAGTAATTTATTTAAAACTCATGAAATTTTTATGAGTTTATCCGAAATTAAATCTGAAAGGGTTGAATCAGCACGTGCGACTGTTAGGATTAAAAATTGTTAAAGTTTTTCGTATAAAAGTGTTTTTAGACTTGTTGCGTCGCGTCATTATCGCCAGTGACATAATGTAATGTGAATTATTGATATATAACAGTGACATACTGGTATATGCAATTTAACCTCGTACATATAAATACGTATGCGAAAAATTACATTGACAAGGTCGAAATATTTTCTCAGGTATTGTAACACCGTTGCGTTCGTATTGTGTCTGAATTGCCAGAGGAACAACCACGAATCATGAAACCAAGTTGGGGCGTTTTACTGTTTACGTCCAATGAAACTGTGTCGAGTTTTCGAATGCCATCGGGCGCGTGGCTGGAGTTTATGTTTTCTCAAGGGGTATACGGTACTGCATGTTGCATCGAGTTGTTTCCGTTCGTTTACAACCGTCTTACAATACCAATACACTAGCTCATAAACTGACCGTTTGCCAGACGTATCGGGAGTACTAAGGGTTGCAAGGGTTGCACTAAATGCATAAGTGCCGGGAGACAAGAGGGATGTTTGTTGTTGTCCTATAATCAAAGTGTCGGTCGTAACGTATGGTCACTGTATTTTGCAACGCCTCTAATCAGACCCGACTTCCATTTTCTTGTGAGAAGTGTTTGGACGATCCAATAGAAACAGAAATTTCGCAGTATTAATTTCAGAACAAAAAATGTATGGATGTATCTGTTTTATATTTGAAGACGACAAGATATTTAAAAACTGTCGAGGGCTATTGCGAGTAACAGTTCGACTGTTAAATTCGTTCGGAACTTGATCGTATATCGATCAACGTGTTTCGAGCACAGGAAATTAATCACGTGATTACAGAACTCGACTGTCTTGACTTTTTTCCCTCGTTGCCGCTGCACGATTTCCTTCCTAGATTTTCCGCGGTATTTGCGAGCATGACATTTCTCGATCTCCTCGTTTCCGCAGATGATTAAACGCGAGATTTAATCCCGGTCCCCATCCCTCACGTTTATTCGTTACGTTCGTGAATCCCTTAGCGTCGGTTACTAGATTCCTTATCAACTTGTTTCAATTTTATTCCACGTTTATCTCCGCTTCAGTTCTTCTTTAAACAAAGCTCTGTTATCATTGTGACAATACACCGTATGTATTTTTGTAACGAAATTTATTTCTGTACCTTAATTATAAAATTTAATGAGTGTTCTTTTCTAAGGGACAAAAAGGAAATCTGGGGTAAAGAGTAATTATTCAGATTTAAACTACTCACAGATTCAGGATTATTTAAGACCCAACAAAAATAGTAGGTATCCGGTTATTTGCTGTAATACTTATTGACTTAAACTTATGGATGAACTGTGTGTCGTACGTTATTCAACTACATACCAACCACGTGTTGTCACAATCGATAGTAACAGTATGTATTATAGAGTACAGGATGTTTTCACTTTACTCTCCGCGTATTATCTCAAATATTGTACTACTAAATTGATTGACAGAGTATACTCTCTTGCGAGTAATCTCTATTACTCCGAGGATATCCTCCAGTCGCTTTAATTATAACACTTAATCAAACGTATGCTTCCCTGTTTATCGTGTATTTCCAATTTCTACTCGAGATCGTAATCCAATTGATTTATTTTTATTAACTACCTACTTGATCAAATGTTTCTTTCCTTGTCCACATGCATATTATTAAAAAATAATCAATGCCAGTTGGTAACAAAAACCCTAACGACCTTTGCAGTTTCCTTTGGTTTATTCTCTTTTTTCCGACAACGAGCGATGTTAACGACTCGCATTAACACATACGTAGCCAAGCGGTATTGTCTCAGCGTAAAAAATTGATGAAGGATGATCGGGTTCGAATCCGTTCTATGAGCCTTCGACCCTTGATATACGTAAGCGTTTTCTTGGAAAAAGAAAGGCTCGCCAGGCCGTGACACACGCGCTTCGTGATAGCGCCTCGAGAGAGAGAGAGGTGATCGAAATCTTATCGGCACTCTGGATCTCTTTAATCGCCGCCCCCGCTTTTACTGCTTCGTACACCGTACGTATAGTTGCATAAAATGCGCGAGTCAGTGCTGTGCCGAGGCCGAGCGCGGGTGTCGCCGTTGGATCCGCGTTGTAAATTTAGTTTACCATCGATCGAAGCAATCGCGGCGCGCTCGTTCAATTATCTTTCCGTAGTTCTCCTCCATCGTATTTTTAACGATTTAACGACGCTTTCTATTGTCTAAGAACCGAAGATATTACCTTGGTGCCACTCGATTTTTATTTTATAACCGAGAAAAATCCAATATCAGAACATGTTATTTATTATATACGAATAATATTTATTACAGTATTTTTGTTAAAGAACAAATTTGTTAATTTACATACAATACAATTTAAATATCTAATCTTGATGACCATCCTCGAATTTTACTTCGTATCAAGAGCCGCGGTTTATGCAATTTGTCTTTCATAAATAAATCAAGTTTGTCCACTGTATACAAAGGGTTCAACTAGAATGTAGGAAAATGAAAGATTCAAGAGATTCAAATCCCATGATAAAAGATTCCAGTCGTATGTCGTGCGCCGGGTGCACTATACATGATAACACGTCGCCACAAGATCCGTCGTACATCAAACTTCCTCTATAGCCAGTTCAAACCATTTTATTGTATTTGGTATCTGTACCATGCGACTTAATGTACGAATAGGAACGTCATCATTCAATTTAACCTTGGATATGTAAAGAGCCATGCAGGATAACTGAGGTTTGCCTTATAAAACAATACCATTGAGATTTGAGACTTCCTGCTCTCGTCTCGTTGGAACAACAAATTTTCTAACTTCTTAGGTTCAATTCACTGGCTCGAAATGTAGAGGGAAAACGAACGGTATCATAGATCACGTGATAACGAACAGCAAACAAGATTATATTCATAAATGTTAAAACACATCGCGTGCATTGATTTCATAAAGTCACTTCTAAATCAGTCTTAATTTTTTTGAATCTGTATGCACATTGCAAATTGTAAAAAGTATGAAAAGGACTCACTGCAGAGAAATCTCATTCCTAGTCAAGAAGACTGGATAAACGAAGAATAGTGCAATAACCCGCAGAGATTCGTTTCGATTTATCGTTCGAAATCGCGAGGCCGCGATTCATTACGCGCGGTACTCGCGGGTTAAGAACGAGAAGCTCGGGAATCGCGGGAATACTTTAGACGGTGCAACGTGCAAAGTCGGCATTGTGCCACCTGCGCTCTTTCTTTGCCGCCCCTCCCCCCCAGTCGGTCCGCGCCCACAGCCCGGGAGGGCACCCCGTCCCCGTTCCATCCCTCGCGCGAGCCGTGGCAAGTATAAATTATCACGGCGGAAGTTAGTCCAACGAACTCTCCTTATCCTTTCGCGTGATAATAATTACTCTCTCTTTCTCGGCCGGTCGGCTGGAAATAGGTTCTTTAGTCGTCTGACGGGACACTTCGTAGATCGTGCTAGAGATCCCTCGTTTACTCGCGCCGCGCCACGCCGGAACGATTATTTCTTACGTCCATCGGCTGCCACCCCCATCGGGAGAGATCCATACACGTGAAACCCACCCCGACGACCCACCGTGTCAAATTTAAATAGCAAATTTGGAGGTGACGATCGACTTTTTGCCACCTTAGGTGAAATCGTGAAATTATTCCCTGGGTAGCGTGTTACCCAGTGGATTTCGTAGATGCATGAGGTCCTCAAACGCGTAACTGTTAGCACGCGAGAGATTAGATGCTTGGATAATTTGTGTAACATGTTTAATATAAAAATGTTACTTTTCTAACTAGGGCTGCGTTACAATTATGGTTTAAAACTTAGGAAAAAATGGTGTGCAGGAATTCGTTTTCACATGCGAAGTATATGTTAGCTACTTGTAACAATTAAATAATTTTATTAAAGGGTGCCGTGAATACGATTTTTAATTATGTACGTTATTACACTTTTTATTATCCATTTTGGAAATCGGATTTGGAATGCGAGAGATATGATGAATAATTAATACAGATTTTTGAAACGCGTTACTGATATTGCTGTTACTTATGAAAGATCGGATCCAATTAATTTTCGTTCTGAAAAGTTTATTTTTGGGCGATATTAAAAATTTATTACAGAGATATTGGAAAAATAAATAATACCATTGTCTATATTATCCGCGAGCGATGATCATTCTCCACGTAAATACGAACTTTAATAGAAATCCATTAAGCGAGTCATGATTATTTAACAGTATTTATCAGGTACAAACAATTATAATTTATTCTCGCGTGAAATGTAATCATTTGGTGCAGTATTAAATTTTTGTTCCGTTTTATTTGTTTGAGATAATAATACAATATAAATTCGCGACGTAACGATTCGCGTTGATTGGAAAATTAAAAAATGACGTATCTCCCATTATCAGCATTGAGAAAATAAATATAAAAATACGAAGTATCAGATTATGCCGTGGCATCATCTGAATCGGATTGATCTGAACGTATCAGGCAGAATAAATTGTTGGATTGAAATCGCTTAGGAATAACTAAGCAGGTTAATTCAAACGAGAAAAAAATGAAATTCTCCAATTACACAAATTTTTTACGCATTATACTTTTTATTTTGTAGGTTTACGTTTACAAAAAGTAAT